GCTTTGCAGTTTCGTTTTTCATCCAGAATTCTACCATCTGTGAATCTGCTTTTTCACGTGCCATCCAATCAAGAAACTGATTTTCGTCCATGCCTAAAAAGAAGATGTGGATATTGCGTGCTTACCTAGTAAAGTATTTAGAAAATAATGATTGAAAAAGGGTTAGCACAAAAAACAAGACAATCACCGACCTATTCCTAGTTCCTTGTCTCGAGGATCGCAGACTATGAGTAATGCATCTTTCGTATTCATAAGCGCTCTTTCAAACACTAAAACGAACAATTTCAAACAACGAATTTTCGAGCAGGTACAAACGTACACTTGTCTTGTTCAACGCGCAACCTCAATCCTTGCATAGAATAAGCCTGTTTACTACTCTGCAGATATGAAGCCAGGGAGTTCATGTCATGGCCAGCAGGCATATTTTCCAAAAGTAGTTGGCGAGCCTTAAAAAAAAGTAAAAAAAAAACTTGTGCGTAGAACACTTTTTCTGACCAACCTTCAATGGAACATCACATGCTGATGTACATAATAATTCCAAGATTACATTCTCATCAACACCAAGTTGGCTTAGTATCATAGAATGTGTGTAATGCACAGCGCTAGGATATCTGCAAACAAAAATCAACATAAACAAATTGCAAAGAAGACTTACTAGGATCAACATAAACAACAGAATTTGAAGACAGAAATATAACTCAGTCCATGTATAAAAGGGCTTGAGCACTGAATCAAAAAACAAAAATTAACGTGCAATATCGCACAAGTGAGGAAAAATGGTATCGTAAACTACTTAACAATTGCAAAATGCTTTGTAGTAAAAAATCAACTTTTGTGTAATCGAAATCAACATGAGAAAACTGCAAAAGGTAGACACACCAATAACCAATGAGTAGCATTACAAACAATAGTATAATCTAATTCTATGAAGGTATGGGATAAAAAAATGCATTATCTCACAAATGAGTAAAAGTTGTGGTAGACTATTTGACAATTGAAAAATGCTTTACAACTAAAAAAATCACCTTTTCCCTGCATCTGATATAGCATGGCTATAACCACAGTGAAGAACATCCGTC